CCAATCAATTGAATTTACCACAGGTGGACTCCAATCAAGTTGTAGAAACATCTCAAGGATGATCAATGGAGTCTCATAGCAAAGGTATTTTTGTTATTTATTTTTAAAACATTTGCTAAGATTTCTAGAAACCTATTTTCATTGTGTCATTATGGGGTATTGTGTGGAGATTGCTGAGGATTAATTGTTTAAAAAAAAATCCATTTTAGAATAAGGCTGTAAAGTTAAAAAATGTGGAAAAAGTCAAGTGGTCTGAAAACTTTCCGAAGGCACATATATATATATATATATAATTCTAAAATGGATTATATATATATATATATATATATATATATATATATATATATATATATATATATATATATATACAGTGGGGAGAACAAGTATTTGATACACTGCCGATTTTGCAGGTTTTCCTACTTACAAAGCATGTAGAGGTCTGTAATTTTTATCATAGGTACACTTCAACTGTGAGAGACGAAAATCCAGAAAATCACATTGTATGCTTTTTAAGTAATTCATTTGCATTTTATTGCATGACATAAGTATTTGATACATCAGAAAAGCAGACCTTAATATTTGGTACATAAACCTTTGTTTGCAATTACAGAGATCATACGTTTCATGTAGGTCTTGACCAGGTTTGCACACACTGCAGCAGGGATTTTGGCCCACTCCTCCATACAGACCTTCTCCAGAGCCTTCAGGTTTCGGGGCTGTCGCTGGGCAATATGGACTTTCAGCTCCCTCCAAAGATTTTCTATTGGGTTCAGGTCTGGAGACTGGCTAGGCCACTCCAGGACCTTGAGGTGCTTCTTACGGAGCCACTCCTTAGTTGCCCTGGCTGTATGTTTCGGGTCGTTGTCATGCTGGAAGACCCAGCCATGACCCATCTTCAATGCTCTTACTGAGGGAAGGAGGTTGTTGGCCAAGATCTCGCGATACATGGCCCCATCCATCCTCCCCTCAATATGGTGCAGTCGTCCTGTCCCCTTTGCAGAAAAGCATCCCCAAAGAATGATGTTTCCACCTCCATGCTTCACGGTTGGGATGGTGTTCTTGGGGTTGTACTCATCCTTCTTCTTCCTCCAAACACGGCGAGTGGAGTTTAGACCAAAAAGCTATATTTTTGTCTCATCAGACCACATGGCCTTCTCCCATTCCTCCTCTGGATCATCCAGATGGTCATTGGCAAACTTCAGACGGGCCTGGACATGCGCTGGCTTGAGCAGGGGGACCTTGCGTGCGCTGCAGGATTTTAATCCATGACGACGTAGTGTGTTACAAACGGTTTTCTTTGAGACTGTGGTCCCAGCTCTCTTCAGGTCATTGACCAGGTCCTGCCGTGTAGTTCTGGGCTGATCCCTCACCTTCCTCATGATCATTGATGCCCCACGAGGTGAGATCTTGCATGGAGCCCCAGACCGAGGGTGATTGACCGTCATCTTGAACTTCTTCCATTTTCTAATAATTGCGCCAACAGTTGTTGCCTTCTCACCAAGCTGCTTGCCTATTGTCCTGTAGCCCATCCCAGCCTTGTGCAGGTCTACAATTGTATCCCTGATGTCCTTACACAGCTCTCTGGTCTTGGCCATTGTGGAGAGGTTGGAGTATGTTTGATTGAGTGTGTGGACAGGTGTCTTTTATACAGGTAACGAGTTCAAACAGGTGCAGTTAATACAGGTAATGAGTGGAGAACAGGAGGGCTTCTTAAAGAAAAACTAACACGTCTGTGAGAGCCGGAATTCTTACTGGTTGGTAGGTGATCAAATACTTATGTCATGCAATAAAATGCTAATTAAATACTTAAAAATCATACAGTGTGCTTTTCTGGATTTTTGTTTTAGATTCCGTCTCTCACAGTTGAAGTGTACCTATGATAAAAATGTACAGACCTCTACATGCTTTGTAAGTAGGAAAACCTGCAAAATCGGCAGTGTATCAAATACTTGTTCTCCCCACTGTATATATATCAGTGGAGGCTCCTTATAGGAGGGACATTTCATTTTTCTTTAGAAATTGTGAAACATTAAAAAAGTTATCCTTTTTAGATAAAACTTTGCAATGAAGGTCTACAGTAGCCTCAACAGCACTCTGTAGGGTAGCACCATGGTGTAGCAGGAGGACAGCTAGCTTCCGTCATCCTCTGGGTACATTGACTTCAATACAAAACCTAGGAGGCTCATGTTCTCAGCCTCTTCTATAGACTTACAGAGTAATCATGATGACTTCCAGAGGACGTCCTCCAAGCTTTATGGATGGGGGCATTGTCATGCTGAAACAGGAAAGAGCCTTCCCCAAACTTTTGCCACAAAATTGGAAGCACAGAATTGTCTAGAATGTTATTCTATACTGTAGCGTTAAGATTTCCCTTCACTGGAACTAAGGGGCCTAGCCTGAACCATGAAAAACAGCACCGGACCATTATTCCTCCTCCACCAAACTTTACAGTTGGCACTATACATTGAGGCAGGTAGCGTTCTCCTGGAATCCGCCAAATCCAGATTCGTCCGTCGGACTGCCAGATGGTGAAGCGTGATTCATCACTCCAGAGAACACATTTCCACTGCTCCAGAGTCCAATGGCGGCGAGCTTTACACCACTCCAGCCGACGCTTGGCATTGCTCATGGTGATCTTAGGCTTGTATGAGGCTGCTCGGCCATGGCAAGCCATTTCATGAAGCTCCCGAAAAACAGTTATTGTGCTGACGTTGCTTCCAGAGGCAGTTTTGAACTCGGTAGTGAGTGTTGCAACCGAGGACAGACGATCTTTACGCACTACGTGCTTCAGCACTCAGTGGTCCCGCTTTGTGAGCATGTGTGGCTTACCACTGCGCTGCTGAGCCGTTGTTGCTCCTAGACGTTTCCACTTCACAATAACAGCTCTTACAGTTGACCGGGGCAGCTCTAGTAGGGTAGAAGTTTGACGAACTGACTTGTTGAAAAGGTGGCATCCTATGACGGTGCCACGTTGAAAGTCACTGAGCTCTTCAGTAAGGCCATTCTACTGCCAATGTTTGTCAATGGAGATTGCATGGCTGTGTGCTCGATATTATACAGCTGTCAGCAACGATTGTGGCTGAAATAGCCGAATCCACATACTTTTATGTATATATATATATATATATATATATATATATATACTGTATAGATAGAACAATAGCTTTCCATTTACTATCTTGTCAACAACAAGGAAAAGGAAATAAACTTAAATGTGTTCATCCACAAGCAAGCCATTCACCGATTTACAAATAACAATGCATCAATATCAATGCATCAATAACAATGCACCAATATCAATGCACCAATAACAATGCACCAATAACAATACACCAATAACAATACACCAATAACAATGCACCGATAACAATGCACATTTCTTTGCATTGGTGTATTCTTCTTAGAAACAGCTCTCCTCTGCCCTCTAGTGACACAAAGTATGCATTCTAAATGTCGCCATATTACTATAATGCACTTTTGACAAGAGCCCTAAGAGACCTATGGCCCCTGGTCAAAAGTTGTGCACTAGGGAATAGGGTGCCAATTGAGATGTAGTAACAGTATTTAATATAAGGCTATATAGCTCAGTACAGTAATGTCCATTCAGTCACGCCTCATAATACATGTCATGTCCTGTCGACAGGATGTCAGGTTGTGCATTGCCACATCAAATCTACCAGTGGGAGACATGAAAGAGTAAAACAATCCAAAGCAGTAAGGAGGGTGATTCCTGCTGTGCTGTCAGGTAAAGTGGTGCACAGTCACAGTTTATACAACTGGGTGGGTCTAATTCTGAATGCTGATTGGTTAAAAGCGCATTACAGACGGTGTCAATTTTAAAAGTTACCACTGGCTAAATCTATGGCGTTGAAATGCCTGTTTACTCTGTTCCATCAGACTTTCCAATCCACTGTCTCATCCACCCTGCCAGGAAATGTATAAACCTGATCTCCACTATAAAAAGCATCTAGACATTATCTCCCATTTCTTTTAGACTAGCATTTGGTTTTCAACCGCAGAGATTTGTATGAACCTTGCTGTCTATCTCTCCGACCTTTTCAATATTGTTTCAATATTGAATTGTGATCTCCACCGTCCAATATAAAGTGAATGTGTCCGAACGAGACAGCCAGCAAATGGAGCTGGTTGTCATAGCAACATACAACACTTTTTTTCAGTTGACTGGCTAAATCGATACTTTGTTTGCGAAAACTAAAATGGATGAGTGGAGCATTTATTTTGATCTTTTCGGCAGCATGACTATGAATGGATGGGAAAGAGATGTCAATAATACCCAGGCATGCAGATTTGGGGGATATGCAGATTACTATGACTATGGATGGGAAAAAGAGATGCTATTTGTTTTGTGTGGAGATCTACAGATATACCGTATTCTGACCTTGACTTAATTCCACCACCTTTACGCGTGAGGAAACCATTAATAAGGTCTAGCAAACCTGGAGGTTCCATTTGAAAAAAACACCTACTTAATTTTTTCGATAGAAATAACACCATTCTCCATGCACTGTAATTTAAAACTTAATAAGAGCAATTGATAAGCGCTAGGTAAATGACTAATCCGTTTGGATAAGGGAATTCTAAATACAGTGCATTCTGAAAGTATTCAGACTCCTTGACCGTTTCCACATTTTGTTACATTACAGCATTATTCTAAAATTAATTAAATTAAATATTTTCAATATGATTTGGGGGATATGCAGATGTGCATTGAATGACCTAGAGAAAAGCCACAACGAAGAAAACACAGTTAAGAATGAAAACTGGGCTGTGCAGTGCTTCGAGGGCGGGCTAGCAGAGAAGAAAAAGTTGTAGACTTCAAAACTGTCACTAAGGAAGAATTTAACATCCTTCTCCAACAGTTTTATGGAAATGTAGGAAATGGTAAGGGGGAGCAGTACAGCAGAAGTAGCTACCTGGCACTCTGGAGTGGGCTCAACTGGTTTCTAAATGACCCACCCATTGGTCGCAGCTTGTGCCTTATGAAGCTGAAGGACATTGAATTTACCACCTCGAATCATGTATTTCTGGGCAATAAAAAACAGCTCAAAAGGCAAGGAAAATATATCACAAACAGCCACCCTCCCATCAACGATAAGGACATGGCCCAGCTCCAAAACTCCCAGGCTCTGAATCCCGGTACACCAAGGGGTCTGGTCCAGAACGTGTGGTTCGACCTCCAGTTACATCTGGGTCCAAGAGGAAAAGAGGGGAACAGACAACTAAAGCCCAACTCATTCCTTGTAAAAACAGACGAGAACGGTCTAAGGTATGTTGTTCATAGCCTGTTTGTATTATTTCTAAGTTGCTCTCGTAATTAGACTACTGGAAAACAATATTATTACAACGCATTCGCTCTCTCAGATACGCCACTCTCGCATATAACGAGGCCACAAAGAATCATCTGGACCCAAGGGAGAGGGGCAGGGAGCCCAAGAAGGGATTCATGTTCAAGCAGCCCGGTGTCATCACTGGATAAATATCTATTGAAATGCCTGGAGAACGCCCTTGCATTTTATCTCCACCCAAGGAGAGGAGAGTGTATCAGGGACTCGATCTGGTACACGTCAGAGCCGATGGGTTTGAACTATCTGCCAGCACTTCTACCCAAGATCTGCAGGGCATCGGGAACAACTACAGTGAGGGAAAAAAGTATTTGATCCCCTGCTGATTTTGTACGTTTGCCCACTGACAAAGAAATGATCAGTCTATAATTTTAATGGTAGGTTTATTTGAACATTGAGAGACAGAATAACAACCAAAAAATCCAGAAAAATGCATGTCAAAAATGTTATAAATTGATTTGCATTTTAATGAGGGAAATAAGTATTTGACCCCCTTTCAATCAGAAAGATTTCTGGCTCCCAGGTGTCTTTTATACAGGTAACGAGCTGAGATTAGGAGCACACTCTTAAAGGGAGTGCTCCTAATCTCAGCTTGTTACCTGTATAAAAGACACTTGTCCACAGAAGCAATCAATCAATCAGATTCCAAATTCTCCACCATGGCCAAGACCAAAGAGCTCTCCAAGGATGTCAGGGACAAGATTGTAGACCTACACAAGGCTGGAATGGGCTACAAGACCATCGCCAAGCAGCTTGGTGAGAAGGTGACAACAGTTGGTGCGATTATTCGCAAATGGAAGAAACACAAAAGAACTGTCAATCTCCCTTGGCCTGGGGCTCCATGCAAGATCTCACCTTGTGGAGTTGCAATGATCATGAGAACGGTAAGGAATCAGCCCAGAACTACACGGGAGGATCTTGTCAATGATCTCAAGGCAGATGGGACCATAGTCACCAAGAAAACAATTGGTAACACACTACGCCGTGAAGGACTGAAATCCTACAGCGCCCGCAAGGTTCCCCTGCTCAAGAAAGCACATATACAGGCCCGTCTGAAGTTTGCCAATGAACATCTGAATGATTCAGAGGAGAACTGGGTGAAAGTGTTGTGGTCAGATGAGACCAAAATCGAGGTATTTCGCATCAACTCAACTCGCCATGTTTGGAGGAGGAGGAATGCTGCCTATGACCCCAAGAACACCATCCCCACCGTCAAACATGGAGGTGGAAACATTATGCTTTGGGGGTATTTTTCTGCTAAGGGGACAGGACAACTTCACCGCATCAAAGGGACGATGGACGGGGCCATGTACCGTCAAATCTTGGGTGAGAACCTCCTTCCCTCAGCCAGGGCATTGAAAATGGGTCGTGGATGGGTATTCCAGCATGACAATGACCCAAAACACACGGCCAAGGCAACAAAGGAGTGGCTCAAGAAGAAGCACATTACGTTCCTGGAGTGGCCTAGCCCGTCTCCACACCTTAATCCCATAGAAAGTCTGTGGAGGGAGCTGAAGGTTCGAGTTGCCAAACGTCAGCCTCGAAACCTTAATGACTTGGAGAAGATCTGCAAAGAGGAGTGGGACAAAATCCCTCCTGAGATGTGTGCAAACCTGGTCAACTACAAGAAACGTCTGACCTCTGTGATTGCCAACAAGGGTTTTGCCACCAAGTACTAAGTCATGTTTTGCAGATGGGTCAAATACTTATTTCCCTCATTCAAATGCAAATCCATTTATAAAATTTTTGACATGCATTTTTCTGGATTTTTTGGTTGTTATTCTGTCTCTCAATGTTCAAATAAACCTACCATTAAAATTATAGACTGATCATTTCTTTGTCAGTGGGCAAACGTACAAAATCAGCAGGGGATCAAATACTTTTTTCCCTCACTGTACATACACAAATCACAGCATCAGGACCACGACAGTCCACAAACTGGCCAATGCTGGTTAAGAAGCGAGGGAGATGATGTCAGTGAGTGGGCATCGGTGCGAAGGTTCCCTCCATAGCTACTGACATCCCTCACTGACAGATAGAAAACGCTGGAGCAACATCTTGGCCGAAAACAAAGAGAACACTGCATCAGCATCAACACCCAAAAGGCTGAAGCAAGACAGCAGAAGTAGTAGCACAGACTCCGACAGATATTTCAACCAATGCACCATCCAGGCGAATGTACAGATCAATGTGACATACAATAAGTAGCTATAGCTAAGTCAGCTGTGGTGGATAACAAAGAGAATGTATGGTTTAATTTATACAAATCAGCTCAAATTAATGTCATGGATTGTCTTTCTTTTGTCTGAACAGTGTCCTGACAAGAGAGCACATTTTCTCTGCCAGGCATAATCGCCATCATAAGCTCATTGTTATGGATGTATCTAAATAAATGTAACTAGAAAACAACTACTTTGCTGTTATTCTGGCTACACTTTTTGACGTGACTGTAAGTTAGCCGTAGTTGGCTAGCTAGCAAGCAAAGGATAGGAACGTTGCCAGCCAGTGTGGCAATGGAACGTTTAGAACGGACGACTGGGTCAATTCCATAGATACAGAACAAGAAGACTGAACGACTGGGTCGCCTACATAGACACAGAACGGGTGCCTAACAACACCCGTGCCAATATATCCTCCAAACACTGGTTTCTCGTGCATTATCACTTAAGTGGATAATAGCATTATCCTTTTGTATTGCCAGAGGCCACAGTCATATACAGTGATGTGTATTCATGGATGCCAATAAAATAATTTGACCAATAAAAAAATAAAAAACATATAAAATAATGTATCTTTTGTCTCTTTGTGTTTCATAATGTATCTCACTGAAGAAAGCATCCGAGCGAGCGAAACAGCGCCCCTCTGTCTCTGTATGTGTAGGCCATCTATCTGATGTTGTCTGGTAAAAAGAGTCTGACATTGTTGCTACCTGTAGCATTAAATACAAGGGAAGCCAGAGAGCATTTGGCCTCCCTTAATATGTTTTTGTATAAAATAATAGCCAATCAGCATTGAGCTAAACTGAGTATGGTCCTGGCACACCCAAAATAAAGTGTAAAGGGAAGCCAGTTAGGATTTGGCTTCACACCAATCAGATCACATCACATCACATCACTTCACACCAATCAGATCACATCACATCACAAGCCAAATGTCATTGACAGAAAAAACATGAATCTCTTTGTGTTGTTGTCCTCCGGTGGCTAGCTAGCTAAAATTGTTATTTGGCAAAAGACCAAGTCAATTTTATGGCAAGAACCGCTCAAATAAGCAAAGAGAAACGACAGTCTATGACTACTTTAAGACATGAAGGTCAGTCAATACGGAACATTTCAAAAACCATCAAGCACCACGATGAAACTGGCTCTCATGAGGACCGCCACAGGAATGGAAGACCCAGAGTTACCTCTGCTGCAGAGTTACCAGCCTCAGAAATTGCAGCCCAAATAAATGCTTCACAGAGTTCAAGTCACAGACACATCTCAAAATCAACTGTTCAGAGGGGACTGTGTGAATCAGGCCTTCATGGTCGAATTGCTGCAAAGAAACCACTACTAAAGGACACCAATAATAAGAAGAGACCTGCTTGGGCCAAGAAACACGAGCAATGGACATTAGACCAGTGGAAATTTGTCCTTTGGTCTGGAGTCCAAATTGGAGATTTTTGGTTCCAACCGCCGTGTCTTTGTGAGACGCGGTGTGGGTGAACAGATGATCTCCGCATGTGTAGTTCCTACTGTAAAGCATGGAGGAGGAGGTGTTATGGTGTGGGGGTGCTTTGCTGGTGACACTGTCTGTGATTTATTTAGAATTCAAGGCACACTTAACCAGCATGGCTACCACAGAGCACGGCGCTTGTAACGCCAAGGTAGTGGGTTCGATCCCCGGGACCACCCATCCACAAATACATAAAAAAATAAAAATGTATGCACGCATGACTGTAAGTCGCTTTGGATAAAAGCGTCTGCTAAATGGCATATTATTATGATTTATTATTATTATCTGGTTTGGGCTTAGTGGGACCATCATTTGTTTTTCAACAGGACAATGACCCAACACACCTCCAGGCTGTTATGGGCTATTTTACCAAGAAGGAGAGTGATGTCATGCTGCATCAGATGACCTGGCCTCCACAATCCCTCGACCTCAACCCAATTGAGATTGTTTGGGATGAGTCGGACCGCAGAGTGAAGGAAAAGCAGCCAACAAGTACTCAGCATATGTGGGAACTCCTTCAAGACTGTTGGAAAAACATTCCAGGTGAAGCTGGTTGAGAGAATGCCAAGAGTGTGCAAAGCTGTCATCAAGGCAATGGGTGGCTATTTGAAGAATCTCAAATATAAAATATATTTTGATTTGTTTAACACTTTTTTGGTTACTACATGATTCCATGTGTGTTATTTCATAGTTTTGATGTCTTCACTATTATTCTGCAATGTAGAAAATTGTAAAAATAATGAAAAACTTTTGACTGGTGCTGTATATATCACGGTGGCATATGAACTACCAGGTTATAGAGCAAACCACGCAAATTATCACAACACATTTTTTCCTGGCTTGGCTCCCCCAGTGATTTTACTCATGCACCGCTACTGGTAATATAATAATGAGTTGTCAAACGCGGCATGTACAAGTATAGAACAGAAGTCAAGGAATATAATAACAGAGTGGTTCTCAAGGACATCAATACTAAAGTGACAGTTCAGCACTGGAGAAGAAAAGTGTTCCAATGTTCCAAATGAACTTGTTCGTTGTTGCCGCCATGACGATGACAACACTTACCTTTAGTCGACTCTTCTGGCATAATGGCCACTCAGCCAAGATACAATTTATATATGGAACACAGCGTATGGAACTCAATGTATGGAACGTTGAGTTAATAGCAAGCCTTTGGCAAAGGCAGACTTGAAGTGTGTTTTGTGTTGGTGTACAACAAATAATGACACAAAGGACAAAATGCATTCTTATATACTGTAGGTTTTACAGCTGTAGGATCTTAATCACCCTGTTAAAGGATAACTTTCCTGTGTGTGTGTGAGTGTATGCATGTGCATGTGTGCGTGTGTGCACATACACAAGCAGTTAGAAAGGTGTGTCTTACCGTCATTGCAGAGTGTCCCTCCGAAAGATGTCATGCTACAGTCACAGCTGAACCCCTCCCACTGCTGCAGGCACACACCCTGATTGGCACACGAGTCCTCCTGGCACGTTGTACTGGGGCCTGGGCACAGGGAGGGATCACTTAAAATATGTGATCAGAATTGAAAATTTAACACGTATATAAGATTAAAAGCATAATCCAACTTAATCCTTGCAGTCCATTTACCCACAATTTACATAGTGACACATGACATACTGACACAAACATACCTCTTGCTCTCTCTCTCGCTCTGTATCTCTCTCTCTCTCTCTGTCTCTCTCTATCTGTCTCTCTCTCTCTCACTCTCTCACTCACTCTCTCTCTCTCTCGTTCTGTCTCTCTGTCTCGCTCTCACACACACACAAACACTTTACACAAAGAAACACTTTACACAGTTTTAGTGAGATTGTCATTAGTTTTAGTGTGTTAAGGTACTCTTGCTTATTGATCTTCATATTTATTGTACTCTTACACTCTCACCACTGATTTTAGGAAATAACAAATATTATTAAAGCTGCCAGCAGCGTAGCCGGGGTTCAGCTGTGGGCCCACTGTGCCACCATCAGGACACATTGGACACATCCTCCTAGGATGAGCTACTTCTGTATTCCTTACCACGTTTGCCTAATCAAATCTCAAAATCAAACTGATCATGCAATAGCATATGCTTTTAATGTATTTTGGATCATTTTCAATGGTGTTGACTAATTTAAACATCTTATTCTCCAGAACCGCAGGCACCAAATGTGGTATATAGCATATATGGATGCACGTCTTCAAACACACTATTTTCCAAGACTCTCGCTGAAACAATATGGCCACTATGAGCCAATGAGCTTAGATTCATGTTTTTTCCTGTCCAACAGTGCCACAATGTGGTCAAACTCAACCATATTTTACAGGTTAGCTACACTCATGTCCTTAAGCATGTGTGCCAAATTTCATCACTCTGAGTCAAACAGATCAAGAGATGTGCCCATTATAGCGCCACCGTGTGGTCATTATGAATGTGCTTGCAAATGTTGAATCTTGACAGTGTTTGCGACATGTGTACCAAGTTTTGTTACAATATGAATATCCTCGACTGATTTATAGTCATTTATGTGCAAAACCATACCCATTTGAATGTTTATTGGTCAGTGGATGCCATGTGGTCCTCTGTAGCTCAGCTGGTAGAGCACGGCGCTTGTAACGCCAAGGTAGTGGGTTCGATCCCCGGGACCACCCATACACAAAAAAAAAAAATGTATGCACGCATGACTGTAAGTCGCTTTGGATAAAAGCGTCTGCTAAATGGCATATTATATTTATATTATATTTATGTTGTTTGACATATTATTCTGGAAAATAGTGTGTTGAGAGGCCTTGGTCCATATACAGTTGAAGTCGGAAGTTTACATACACTAAGTTGACTGTGCCTTTAAACAGCTTGGAGAATTCCAGAAAATGATGTCATGGCTTTAGAAGCTTCTGATAGGCTAATTGACATAATTTAAGTAAATTGGAGGTGTACCTGTTGATGTATTTCAAGGCCTACCTTCAAATGCAGTGCCTCTTTGCTTGACATTATGGGAAAATCAAAGGAAATCAGCCAAGACCTCTGAAAAAAAATGGTAGACCTCCACAAGTCTGGTTCATCCTTGGGAGAAATTTCCAAACGCCTGAAGGTACCAAGTTAATCTGTACAAACAATAGTATGCAAGTATAAACAACGTGGGACCACGCAGCCGTCATACCGCTCAGGAAGGAGACGCGTTCTGTCTCCTAGAGCTGAACATACTTTGGTGCGAAAAGTGCAAATCAATCCCAGAACAACAGCAAAGGACCTTCTGAAGATGCTGGAGGAAACAGGTACAAAACTATCTATATCCACAGTAAAACGAGTCCTACATCGACATAACCTGAAAGGCCGCTCAGCAAGGAAGAAACCACTGCTCCAAAACCGCCATAAAAAAGCCAGAACACGGTTTGCAACTGCACATGGGGACAAAGATCGTACTTTTTGGAGAAATGTTCTCTGGTCTGATGAAACAAAAATAGAACTGTTCGGCCATAATGACCATCGTTA